GTCGGGCGTGTCCCCCTACCAGGGGATTCTCGACGAAAAATAAAAGATACCCCAAAAATACTCCGAAAAGGTCCAAAATATTGAAAATGATCCCAGTGCGACCCTACCTAGGAGTTGGAACCCCTAGGAAAGCAGCATTAGTAGTAACAGTAACGCTAAGCTAAAGCTAAGCTAAAGCTAAGCCACAGCTAAGCTAAAGCTAAGCTAAAGCTAAGCTGAAGCTAAGCTAAAGCTAAGCTAAAGCTAAGCTAAAGCTAAGCTAAAGCTGAGCAACAGCTAAGCTAAAGCTAAGCTACAGCTAAGCTAAAGCTAAGCTAAAGCTAAGCTAAAGCTAAGCTACAGCTAAGCTCAAGCTCAGTTAAAGCTAAGCTAAAGCTAAGCTAAAGCTAAGCTAAACGCTAAGCGAAAAGCTAAGCTAAAGGCTAAGCGAAACGCTAAGCGAAACGCTAAGATACAGCTAAGCTAAAGCTAAGCTAAAGCTAAGCTAAAGCTAAAGGTAAAGCTAAAGCTCCCAGGGGACTGGGGGGAACCGCGGGGCGGGGACTGGGGGAACCGCCCGGGGCGTGTAGCACTGCCCGGCCCCTTTAAGCTAGAGAGTAAGAACCCTTCTAGGCAGAGCCTAGGTAGGGAAAATAGTCCCCAGGCTACGTTTGGACTATTTCTTGACTATTTTGGGGGTATTTTTTATTCTTCGTCGAAAATCCCCCCGTAGGGGGACACGCCCGACTTCACACGGGGCCCTCGCGCGGCCCTCCGTCTGCGGGGCCGGCGCCTGCGCGACGGCGGACGCCTGCGCCGCCGCACGCCTCCCGCCTGTGGGGCCCTGGCGGCCACCCGCGGTGGCCGGGGGCGGCCACCAGTGGGGGGGCCGGCGCGCGCTCCTCGCCCCCTCAGCCCTGGGGGGGGAGGCGGCCCCCGCAGCCATGGCATCGGCGGGCGGCACAGGGCAGCTGCTTTGATACATGGGATTTTGTTTTTAAAATAGGATTTTTCATACATGACTAATGTGTGACTAAACGTTTGCATGAACTCATCGTTGCTTTTAATACCGAGTCCCTGCATGTTCCATACATGATTATGATTCATTCACTTATACATGAATACATAGATTCATCGTTGCTTCTAATACTGAATCCCTGCATGCTTAATACATGATCCGCACGCGGAGCGTGTATCAAAGACGGCGCTGCACTGGCAAGGCAATCCTGGCCGACCCGGCCCCCGACCTGGAGAGGGCCTCGCGCTCGGTCTTCTGAGGCACGGACCGCCGCCTGCTTCTCAGCTTGGCGCCTGCCGCGGGTGCAGCAGGAGTGCCTGGGAGATGCACTCGAGGTACCGCCGAAGCGTGTCTGAACCAGCTTGATATAAGTTGCGCCCGGGATGGTTGGGAACAAAGGGCGGCTCCGCGCTTGGCAGACTGGTCCGCGAAGTCGTTGCCGTTGGCCAGGACCCAATCCCTCGAGAAGACCTCGAGGCCACCTTGTGAATAGAGAAATCCCAAGTCCATGTGGGCGAACTCCGAAACTGAATTCGCATGCCTGCGTATATAAATATGGCGCCGAGAAACCACCTGGGACCACGGGGTCGCCCCTGGATTGACGACGCCCAGGAAGTCCGATTGCACTCTCTTGGCTCTGGGGCAATGCTCTGTCACTGCCAGAATTGCCACGTGCTTGGCCGGGGGACGAGGGAGAAGGGGAGAAGGGAGGGAGGGAGGCAGAGAGGCAGTGAGGAGGAGCAGAGAGCAGCGCCGATGATCCGATGAAGTCAATCGCCTTGAGACAACCGCACCCTGCAGGCCCACAAGGAAAACAAAAAACGGATCAGGCGTTCGAGAACCGCTTGAGGGGCCCGAGATTCTGTGGGGCCCTGCAGGGGGATACCACTGGCATACGAACGAGACCCCCTTATCGGGAACTCCTAGGGGGCTCGCCTATGCACTCCCTCCACTGAACAGGGCCGAGGGACGGCGACGCATTAAACCGACCCCAGCACAACCCCTTTCAGCCCTCCTCAACGCGGCGCGGCACGGCCCAGACGTCCGAGGTCCGCAGGGAACCCGAGAGACGGCCCTCGCCCCAGGAACTCGAAGCCAACCGAAGCTGGCGGGAGGCCTCCGAAAGCCTCTGAAGCGTCTCGGCGCCGAAGGAGGCCTGAATGGGGGGGGGTCCTAAAGAAAAGTCTAACCTCCAGGGCCCCATCCGAGTACTCGAGGATCGGGGAGAGGGCCCGAGCCTGGAGGGCGAGGAGGGTTCCGTCTGGGAGGCGACCCTGGAGGTACAGCTCAGCGGTGCGGCGTGAGCCATTAACGGATTGCAGCCTGAAGCGAGCTGGTCTACTCAGAGCTCGTCTTCGTCCTTGTCCCTGTCGTCGGGCGCCGCTGCTGGTTTGTCCTTCATCCCCAGCAGCGCCAGCAGCTTCGAGGCCTCGCGTTCCAAGCCGCCTCTCGGCGGCGCCCCAGGGAGAAAGCGCACGGTCT